AGCAAGCTAATGATTTTAAAATTAATTCTATTAGAATATAACGTTGAGTATTAATTGGTCGTAGATAATAATTATAATTGACTGTCTGACATCATTCCTTTTTCTAAGAAATATCATTTCTTTGCCGAAAATAAGTATTTAATTTCAGTCATTGAATGAATTTTGTGCTAGATTTTTTAAAACATCTAATGATATTAATAAAGTATTGTTATCATTTAAAATTATTCAAGCGAGACGACTTTCTGATGTCATATAATTATCAACTAGCTATTTTATAAAATTGATACTATTATTGCGACAAACATTTCTCGTAAATTTGTTTCTGCTTTACTTCATAACGGCCGGAACTTTATTGATAATACAATAAGACAATTGATTAAATTCTAAGCCTGCTTTCAAACGAAAGGAGAACTAGTAGCAATTTGAGGTTAAGTATTATTTTTTTCATTCGATCAATACTTTGTTTCTTTTAGGATTGAGATTGTCTTGCATGGCTGTTTGAAAAATTTTTTAAAGTCGGAACATAAGTTATTAATTCATCCATTTCTGCTCTAGTCATCAACTTATTTCTTACAATCAATGTTCACATTCGCAATGTAATCTATATGACGCTAGCAAAGACAATGCGGTAAAAATTATTTATAGTCATAACAACTATTGAACTTGTAGGCAATGTGATTAATCCTAGACCCGCCTAGACCCTAACCGTTTCATCTTAGCATGTGAAGAAATTACACAATAGAATGATATATTAATACTAAATCTGATACATTAAATTACAGTTTGAAATCACAACTTGGACTTGCTCTCATTTAATTTAGAAAAGGGATATAGTTAAGCTGAGATTATGCTAAAGGAATTGTTAATACATCACGAATATTAACATACACGTATCCATAACAGGAATTCTATTATCAACAACAGCTAGTTTACGTAGACATGATATTAATACAGCTGATAATGCCCTAAAAGTAAAGCTAATCAGATCTTTAAGTATGCTAACCAACATTAGCCTAAAGTGTATCTGGGAGCCTTGCAATATATATTAAATTTTTAGTAGCATCTAAACTTTATACATTAGCAATTTTTATAATCCATAAATAGTGCTGTATGGTATCTATGAAAACTCAAATGGATTTTAGACGATAGGTGTCACAAACCAGCATTGCGACAAGGTTTACGAAAAAATTTCTAAATTTCTAAAGTTTCCTAAATTTAGTATCCATTAACTATTCACAAGAACTTAGACGCCTTTGCTTCTAAGATACAAAATTAGAGAACTGATTTTATTCAACTATCTGCCGAACTTATATATCTTTCAGCGGTAGCTAACATTAATGAAGCATCCTATTTCAATAAATATCAACATGGTCATCTACTGACTGATTTTACATAATCGGACTGCAATATGTCCATTCTTAGAGTCATATCAAGATACCAACAATCTACAATTAGTTAGAATTTCAGCTACAAGAGCATGTACTATATTCAATTGCTATATAAGAATTTTATTACAGTACAACACATGATTCATTATAACAGATTATAGCTTCACTGCTTCCTCCTGTAAGCAGCTAAATGTAATCTCCATATATTAATGTTAAATTTGCTAAATTTAGTCATTTTAAGTCTGCGTGTTAGTTTGTCCGAGACATTGTGCTTTCTTAGTATCATTGAATGATTCTTCCATTTCCTCAACAGTCCTCGAAATTTTAATAGAGGATAAATAGGGGATTTAGTCAATCCCTAAATTGCTCCGTAACATTTCGGTTCTTCCAGCAATAAAAGCTGAAGGCGATGGCCTGCTAAATTAAAATCGAATACGTGCACTTCAATACGACTAAATGGCTATATTAACTTTAAAGTAGATAATATAATCTAGAAACTTAAAGCACCACTTTGCGCGGGAAGATTATTTATCATTTAAAGATATGATTTATACTATTCAGACATTACTATTTCAAGTTTAAAGATATCCTTTGATAATCTGAGGATATACAAATATAGTAAATAAGCATTATAGGAGGTTTTAAATTTCCGCGTGTAAGAGAAATTGCTGAACATTCCATATACGAAATAAAGTAGTGCTGCAGTTTAGATAAGTTTCCTTTTACAAAGTCTAGAATAGGAATTTTTTGGTCTGCGATATCTAGAAATCGTAGATACATTTTTACAATTAAATAAAATTTTGCTCATTATCTTATATATCAGTAACTTAAATGATATATTCTTTAAGTCATTTTGATGTTGAAATTTGAAAGGAATATGATTGCATTAATTTTAATCGAGGCGATATAAACTATGGCTTTAGTTAAATATCTATTTCATTAGTCTTTTTCGTTAACGTAAACAATCTACTTTTTAATATTGATACTGAAAGGAATATGATTGCATTCATTTCAGTCAGACCATTTAAAGCTTACCTTCAGTTAAAATTTTTTTCATCGATCTTTATCGGTAAGGTAAGGAATCTATTTTCCCCAATTTTTGATCTTGAAGGGAATATGATAACATTCATTTCAACCAACGTAATTTAAACTACAGCTTACGTTAAAATGTTCTTCAATAAATCTTTTTCTGAAAGGTTAAAAATCTTTTTTCCAAATTTATGATCTTGAAAGGAATATAATTGTATTCGTTTCAATCAAGCGATGTAAACTATAACTTTAGTTAAAATAAATTTCATTAATCTTTCACTAAAACCTCCAGAGTAAAAGTTATAAGGTACAGGAAGTGGAGTTGTTTTTGGCAATAAACTCGTTGATAGAATTCATTGAACTTCAATTGCAGCGTCATGAGTTATCACTATTTTCTTTTCTTGAGGTATGTACTTTATTAATTATCAGTGTTGAAAAAGAGAAATGTGCAATGAGATATCTGTTAGAGAGAAATGCCTACAGGTAAATTGATCCACTGCGACTACCGTAGCTAATGGTGCTTTCAGCTAACAAAGAATTATTTTTTCTTTGAAATGGACAGTATCTTAAATTACTGTTCTCAATTTTAATCTTTATTGATGGTTTAAAGTTTATGCTTTTAGTTAGTAGCTTAATAGATCATTTGTTATCGGTCAATTGCTATATCAGAAACAATCTATAATATATAATTTAATTATATTTGCAGATTTTATCCAGAATAGAATAGAAATGTATAGAGTGCGCTGTGCATGGATCTCAATACTGACATTAGCTAACCTGGTACTTGTTGATAATACTATACTTTTATAAATTCGTATAAAAATTTTAAAACGTACGAAAAAGATCTTACTATGAGTTATTTTATCTTATAATCGTACTATGTTTGCATATCGTAGGAAATTGCTAACAGTAAATTCAAGGTATAAGAATCAGTTTAACTCTTTCTGTTCGACCAATTTATTACGAAAATTTTTGTAACGAATCTAAGTCCTTAAATATTTTTAAATCTAAAATTTTAGCTAAAAATTATTACTATATTATGCTGTTACAGTGTTAAATACTGTATTACAGTAGAAATAACTATGTTAGGATAATTCTGTTAGACTATCCTTATTTAGTTAACTTCTAATTTGGATATACTGTATTTTAATATAGCACTGACTTTTTATGACAGTGACACTTATACACATACTGAAATTATAATAGTTATAATAGGGAATGCAAATCATCTGCTTACAGTTCGAATCATTGTGATTGTAATTTACTTATGGTAGACTGTAAATTATCATGGAAATGTTCCGTGATAGGACATATCGTAATCTGACTATTCTGTATTAGTCATTACATGTCTATGTTCGTAAATACTGTTGTCTGCATTAAGGGAGCAGTAGCTAAAATTAATATCTAATTCAGTAAATGATTCTAATGTTAATTGTATTAACTATGACTCATGAACTATTGAGGAATAGTATATAAATGCAGTATATCGTGAAATAAAGAAGAATTGTCTAACTTAGTGTTTAACGTAAAATACGAGGCGTTTAAGTCTTTGTGTAGTCTGCTAGTAGAGCAAAAGTGTTTGTGATAGTGCAGATATCGTTCCTTGATACGTGGTTCAAGGAATTGACTTATTGATCGTATATTGCGTTATCTTGTTGCAAAGCTGTTTTGTGACATATGCTTAACGAATATACGACTAAATTATATTTATTCCTGCGTCAAACATTATCCAAGAGACCAGAGGCTACCAATTTCTATCAGTATCATAAGAATTCAAATTTATTAAGCTTGGTGATTATTTATTAATATATATCGCAATTGAAAAGACACTTTTTCATTTAGAAATGCATGAAGTGTTAAATTCTACTAAAAGACCAGATTTTAATTTTCATATCAGTAATCGAGAGGACCTGTATCATCTTGTTCCAGTAAAAGTACTAGTACCGAAATAAATAGCCTAAATACCGGTATTTGCTATTATATAAATTAGACAGATTACGAGATAAGCTAAAAAAATTATCCACCACTTATTTCATGTAAGGATTGCAATTTAAATAGCTGATAAGATTTGATTAATCATTGCAATATCTCTAGCAGTAACGCTATTCATTATTGTTATTGGTTTAAATAAACTGTATATCAATGAATATAAGTTATTAGTTCAATTTTATATACGTATCTTATATTTTATTCTAGCGGATATTTTGGATAAGTGTGACTTGAATAAATTTAGTATACTGTAGCTTAGTATTGTACTCCAACTTTAACATCATTATATTACCTACAACTGTTGGATTTAGGAATATAGTCTTGATCATATTTTCGCAATAAAGACATTAAAAATACTGGTATCTTTATACATCCATGATCAGTAAGGACATTAAATAGCGCGTGTTGACGTATAATTACAACAACATTCAATTTAAATGATTTCTCCTATACAGTATTTTAATTTGCTCATCGAAAATCAAGTAGCTTAAACTTTGTATAAAATGATAATTTTTACATTAAAGCACACCACAGATCTTAGTTTATTATGAAGATATTATCTGTATTGCATTCTGATCGTATTTTGATTGTAATTTAAAGTGTACTATTTTGAACTAAATTATATCCCGATAATATTGAAGGATTGACAGATGGTCGTATCGGTAGACTGATATCAGAAATTTTTGATTTTTTTGAGTAAAAATGTGAACATATTTCATGATAGCCATGTCTAAAATCTTTATGAGAGAAACCAAATAATAAAGGATTAACCGTAATATTGACGTATATTCCCCAATTTAATAAATATTTATAGGCTTTACCAGACACAACAGATCCTTGATTAACTAGCGTAGCAAATGTTAATGCAAGGCCTGGAGTTGTACATATAAAAAAGACACCCACAACAATAATAGTCGTTCGCGTTGATTTCTTCAGTAATTGCTTATTTTCATTATAGATCCAACCTGAAATTGCCATTCGTTTAAAAGTACTATTTGCTTTGAGAAGAATTATAACATAGCATATCATGACAAGTATCAGTATTGAGAAGACAGGCAAGTAAAAAACAATAATAGCCAAGTAATTTTTACTATATGCAGTAATATCAATCCAACACGACGTTAAATAGGGAACATATTCATATTTTCCTATACCATATTGTTGTAATCCCATAATCGGTAGAGCTGCTAGAGCAAGAATACACAACCAATTGAAAAGAAGAATCTGAATTATTCTGGTGTTTGTAACATATTGTCGATAATGTAAAGGTTTACAGATTGCAATGCAACGATCCACTGTAATACCTGCTATAGCTGAGTATGTAGAGCCGATAAATGAACTTGACATGAAAGCGAGAAATACACAAACTGCATGATTTAGTCTTGAGCAAGGATTATCATAGATTATGGTGGAAATAACACTAGAAAATCCCACGCCAATATCAGAAACTGCTAAAGCACCTATTAGTATACCGGAGGGATCATGCAGATAGCGATTACGATAAACTACTACAACAGCAGCAATATTGCCAACGAGTGATGTTAGTAAAAATATTAAAACAACTACTGTTAATGTTAAGGCCTCTTCGGTAGGAATATACTCGTAAGTTATATTAACGAGTAAGGTGCTGCTATAATTCTCGCAAGTGTACTTGACTTTTAATTCATTCATTTCATTAGATAGTATTCCGTTATGGAAACTATTTATCTATCCACGGTAAATAGGACAAATACAGAATATCTGCTCAATTGATGTTGCTGCGTATATTGAACCGTTTTTGATGATTAATGTCGATACCTAATAAATTGTATTGACCTTAAGAGATATAAAAGCAGATTGGATAAATGTCTTGCTTAGAAAATAGTGCAAGATTTTTTCAGTCGATATCCACGATGATCTCACTTTGCGTGCCTAAAGCACTAAAGAACTATTAAGAAAAAATTAAAATCTGGATTAATTGCTTTTGAAATTGTTAGAATCTGTGGCGATATGAACATCGACTGATTTTACCAGATTTTAATACCAGTTGGATGAATAAGGTGAATAAGTTGCTGACTGAATACTCTTACTTCAATCATTTTATGTATAAATACGTTGAAAGAAGATTTTATATACTATTGTTGAAGATATTACGACGTTTAAAAAATCGACAAATAATCCAGTACAACTTGGTTTTAAAATTCGTATGGTAAGAACTTTTACAGATGGTATCATATAGAAATCTAGCTATAACCTTGGCATATATCGAAGAGAATTGTTGGAAAGTTGTTCGTATTTGTTAAGAAAATGGCCACAAGCTATTTACAGGAAATATTTCAATAAGGCATCTAAAATTGAAATAAATGATATCGATAATTTAGCTGATATAGAAGTAAAAAAACTGATAATGCAATGCCATTCAAAACAGCCTAATTTTTCTGCCTGATCCTTTATAGCTAGTAATAAAATCATCTTTCTCTCAACATAGCACTAGTATCAGCAAGTTTTGCTTACTACATTGCAATTCTTAAGCATCAATTTTGTTAGTTAGTGCTACAAGTTAAATGATACGATAATAAGCTTTACCTATTCAATTTTATCATAGCTATACCACTAGATTGTGTCGTTTAACATCGCTATAACTGGCCCCTTTTCCCTTCAATACTAACTGCAATAAAGACTAGTACCATGTCACGGTAAGAACTACCGTGAAGAAATAGCTATCTAAATTTGGTTAATATAATATAGTGATATTATATTACAACTAGTTCCTTACAATAGGAATTACTCTAATTATAAATGTGTTACAGTAAATTTATTGCTGTGCTGTAATGTGTACTGAAATGATTCTGTGTATGGACATATTGTAGTCCGACTGTGAAAAACTAGTTAGTAGATGTTCTCACCCAAGTATTTTTATAAGATGACTTGTGAATGTTAGCTGCTGTAGAAGGGTATATAAGCCCGTCAGATAGTTGAATAAAGCAGTTCTCAATTGTCTGGTTGAGTTTAACGTAGAATCAAAGGCGTCTAAATTCTTGTGAGTAGGGATACTGAATCCCGGAGACTATAGTAATTTAGAGATTTATTTTACGTTATCCTTGTCACGAAGCTAGTTTGTGACATACCAGTAAGCCATGCTTTCTACATCGTAAAAGTAATTCTTGAGCATCGATATCGCTAGTTAGTACTATAAGTTACACGGCAAACTTGTATACTTTATCTTTGCCATTTTACTATAACCACTTGACTAGATTACATCGTCTCGCTACGCTACAAATAGACACAGTTTCCCTTCAAACCTAAGTATAATTAAGGCTAGTGCCAATAAACTGTGCTCTCTATATCGTAAAAGCATTTCTTAAGCATCGATATTGTTAGTTAGTACTGCAAATTACGCGGTAAACTTGTATACTTTACCTATTCTGTTTGACTATAGCTATACAAATAGATCGTGTGATCTAACTGCGCTAAAGCTAGGCACAGTTTTCCTTCAATTTAACTGTAATAAAGGCTAGTACCTATAAGCTGTACTTCAAATATCATAACGCAATTCTTAAGCATCCATTTCATTAGCTATTACTATAAATTGCACAGCAAACTTGCATGCATTACATATTCTATTTTACTATTAGCTACTTAACTATATCGCGTCGTCTAACTACGCCATAACTGGGTGCAGTTTCCTTTACTAATTACAATCTCCAATAAAGACTGTTCCCAGCAAACTGTAATTCAAATATCATGACAGCAATTCTTAAGCGCTGATTTCGTTATTTAGTGCAATATAATATTCGATAAGCTAGTATATTCTACCTTTTCTACTTTACTATAGCTATTTATAACACGTAGCTACCGTAATTAGCTGAAATCATTACACTACTCAAATAGATCACGCCGTCAAATTATTTTACAACTAGGTACAGTTTTTCCTTGAATAGCAATCGTAATAAAGGCATTATTTATCCTATGAAACCTTTGTAAGGTCTTACTGTTATGATGGACCCTGTATCCTTTCAAATGTCGCATTTAATATTTGACAAATTTATAATATCAGTAGGAATCTATTCTACCTATTCTGCTTTACTATAGCAACTAAACTAATTGGATCGTCTATCTACGCTCTAACTGGTTACAGTTTTCCCTTCAATATAATTATAGTAATAGCTGCTACTGGTATTTATCCTATGAATATTTTGCAAGGTTTTACTAATATGATAGATTCCTAATCCTCACATCGCATTAATAATTGGACAACTTTATAATATTAGCGGAATCGCTAATATTACTATTATATAACGTGCAATAAATTTCATTATGTTGCAGAATGCTTCATAAATGAAAGCCTTAAGCGAACCAGGAGGCACGATAAACAAAATTCTAAAGTTTTAAGCACAATATAAATCGGTAATTAAAAGAACACCTCAAACTGCTAGCATTTTCTTACTTTAGCGTGACTTTTATTATCTTTAGAATAGCTTATTGAATTTAATTGCAGATCATTACCTATAAATTATAAATTATATAGTGTTATTGGCGCAATACAATACTGTTTTTAATGTCATAGTCTACATTTAATGATACTCAGGATGAAATTAATTACGATAGAAGAATCCTACGCCTTAGTGTTCGATTGCCAGCAACACCTTATGATCGTTTGAAATCGATTTTAAATTTTTCATGGATACAAAGTGCAAGATAGGATCGCTTTGCACTTCAATAGTGACTGTAGTTGAAATAAATAAACCAAAGTGTTTAAAATTGAATCAAATATAAATAAAAAATAGGTTTACATTGCAACTTAAAATTCAGGTTTGGAGTGGTTACGAATATTTTTTTCTATAGCAAGTGCAGGAATACCATTCAATTCTTTGAAATTACTTAATGAGTTGATATTGACTCTATTGTTATTTTAGAATAAAAAGTATCGAAATCTAAATCTAATCAATCAGACTAAGACTAGAAAGAAATCGATGAAAAATAAATCAATCGAGTCTACAAAAAATATCTAATTGTCCTGATCTGAAATATAAGATTTAAAACTACAAGTACGAGTTAGCAGTATTAGTCCAGTTTTAGAACGATAAATGAAAGAGATATTTCAGAAAGGAAACTAATGTGATGCATTGAAGAACTAGAATTTTAAAATCTGAAAATTTAAATTGTTTAAATAAAATCTTCCTTAAACAAATCCATATAGTCATTATTAAAGCAGCGCAATTAAACATATTTAATTTGTCAAATTATCAAAAAATGAAAATTGAGGAAGAAAAGTGAGCTAAATGGTGCTATATGCAAAGATCAAACTAACAATACGTTCTACAGTAAAAATTTCTTAAATCTAGTCAAAATCGCATCAAACTGAAGCATGAAATATTGTATTTAGTATGTAAATATCAAGGAAAAAATAAAATAAAGCTTCGAAGTATCAATATTTCATAAATGTTAAATAGCAAAGTTCAGCAAATCTCCTTCGATAGCTGCAGCAATATCTATCGATACACATGAAATATATACGTGTATATATATGAAACATATTTGATTTTATTCCTGAATGTTGGAATTGTAGAATTTTAGTAGCTAGTGGCTTATAGAATTAAATTGTATCTGATATCATGTAAATTAAAATATTGGTGTTGATCTATACTTGATATATTTGGTTGATCAAATTCTTAGACATAATTGATAACTACGAGTTATTAGTATCCATAAAAGAATATTTCGATCATTTAATGATTCTAATCGCTTAATTTTAATTAGGTTAGAAAAATTATGATTTGAAAATTGAATAACTTTATTCATGGCTATAGTTATAGGAAAGGTAAAGTAAGGTAGTTTTTAGTAGCTATTTGGCTATCATTAAATTTCAAAGAGAAATCTTATAAAATTAAATATGCGGTAATAGTATTTCATGTAACATTAGTTACACAAATTTGTCTCAATATTTTTCTAAAAGTTAAGCAGCTAAGGTCTATTGAAAACTCCTTTAATTTACGCGTATTAATCATTTACTTATGGAATTGCCACGATCTAATGCAGTGAGATAGAATAAAATAATTACTTACAATTTTAAGAGATGATTTAAGATTTTCATGGGTGAATAACACCGCTTAGATTCAATTTTTTCAATTTGATTGGAGTACTTGAAAATTCCCTTTCCTATTTATCTTTGTTTTCATGTGCTCTGTAACAAGAAAGTTTAGTAAATATATTTTTCGAAGAAAACTACACCAGACATACCTCAATACTCACCTAGAGCCTGCTATACAAATTATAATAAGTTTCATATTAATGAATGGCGATATTCTCCCCAAATAAATTTCAATTAAATCTGTCACACACACTAAATGACGATAAATTATTGAAATAATGAAATAGCAAAGTCAAAAGAAAATTGAACTATGAATAATGAGTACAGAATAGATTTGCGAGCGATTATATCTTTAAATGCAATATTATTAATTTTGGCTTTCATTTATCAAACAATTGATTGAAAGCTGTTGCAAAAGTTTTCTTTCATCAGTCTTTAACTTGATTATTTCGTTCTATTTTGGTATAGATAAACATAATATCTATTGTTTAAATATCTGAGATTCCTTGATAAGTAATAATTTTACATCATTAAATTGAATAGCTTCTATATCCTGATCACGATTGCTAAATTGATCAAAACTCGCAATACAAATTTTATA